TGGAGCAGCTTGGTGATGTAATATCCATGGAGGAAGGCTCTCTTGGGGTCAGGAGTATAAAGGGTGCACATACCCTGGCCAATTTGAGCATAGCTCGCGATTAACCTCCACTCATCACTGAGGGGTCGGGGATGGGTGGTCCAGGACATAGTCTAGTATAAGTTAGGATACCTGGATATCAAAAAATAAAAAAATACACTTTACTATTCTCATAGCAAAGTACACATCGGTCATTAATCTACACGCGCCATTTTACTCGCTTGTTTTGACTGCCATCTGGCACTAATGAAGGCCATCCAACGGCTTCCTAAGCGAGCAGGTTTCATCTCATGAAATGTATTGTACCACAATAAACAAAATTCGTGCTGCTCAAAAGACGTGATTTCTGACACAATATCCAAAATGTACAATTTTCTGAAGCATGGAACACCACACATGTTATAATCAGACAACAATATCATGTGAATAGATCTGCCGGTAAATAATGTACGCGTGTACTGCAACCTCGTTTCTAGAGCCGTAGATTCCGTATAAGATTCCTCCGCTTTCGGCTTAACAGCGGAGCATATATATATTTTATAATTTTTTTATGGAAAAATTCCAAATCCTCAATGTCAATCCATGTTCGTATAATTAATTGGTTGAGAACAAGTTGTCATGTGATCAAGTGTCATTTTTTTTTGTTTTAAAAATGAGTTGGCATTTGCTTTCAATGGAAGATTTAATGTCACGTTAGGTTTTCATGAAGCTAATAAAATATTGATATCGTGTTAATTTAATTGGACGATAGTTAATCTTGTCAATAACAAATATTGATACGTCCAACATTTATGTATCTAAATTTGCCCTATGGAGAAGGACATACTTAATTTATTTATTGTTTGAAATCCTCAAGTACGTTAATATCCATAATATTTATTTGTTTATTTTTAGGGTGTGTCTGGGCGCACGGTTGAGCATAATTTGGATCGTTGTTTTTTTTTATTCAGCTTAATCTGACAAGAAGTCAGGTCATAAGATGAGATTTTCCCAATCTACCCCCCTCATTACACGCCTCACACTATTAATAATACAGGTGAGAGGAATAAACAACCTGGAGGAGAAAATGGTAATTCAGTACCAAAAATTTATTATTACCGTGCAAGGGGGAAGCAGTCAATGGGCTCAGGGATTTGACATGAAATTGATTTTTGATTCCAAAAGTGCGCCCAGACACCCTCTTAATTGCTTATTTGATTAGAAAAGCAAATTACTAAAATGCTATCAAACTTTTGTAAAGGAGAAATGTAAAATTTGTCACTCTATTTGATTGAGATGTTTTGTCTTTCTTTTGCTATTTTTCTTTTCTTTTATTTTTCATTTTGTGAGTTCTAATAATAACAAGAACCTCCTTAATTTATGTCGTCCACCTACTCCATTGGACCGACTAAATATTTTGTTTTATTTTTGTCTTCTCTCGATGGCTGGTGATTAGGCATGATGTTGGTTGTTAGGCGCCATCTTGTCCTTTTCGTTGATTGTTTTTGTACCAACGTTTTTTACAGA